GACAATTCCTAAACTGAAAGAAACACACATTACCTTTAGACACACCCTCATTTTCCGCCACACCGGATTACCCCACTTGCACTAGGTAAATTTTTGATTATTGTAATCAGCGAATCGAGCAACCCATCTCCGTTCGGATATACAATCACAATCTGCCTCCAACTAGCATTAGAATTCCGATTTCATTTCAACCAACAAATAATTGGCAAACCGCGCAATATATATATACATATATATATATATATATATATATATATATAAAGAAGAAGGAATTGCACCGTAGTAATAAAATGACAAAATGACGTAATGGTAATAATAAATTTAATAAATCATGACGATTGATAAAATTCATTAATTGTGGCGCCACTTGACATGATAAGAGAAAGAGATAGAATGAATAAAATACAGTGAAATGAGTGTATGCTAAGAGAGAAAGAGAAGGGGGCGAATACAACACCAAAACCGATGAGAAAATCGTCGCACAAGTGGATAAGAAGGGAAGAGAGCTGAAAAATGTGAGATCTTTCTTTCTTTCTTCACGCAACTATGATTCAAGACGAAGCGTTGGCGTCATCGGCATTATTGACATCGGCGGCAGGTGCTGAAGTCTCCGATTTCGAAGCTGTCTTCTTCGGACGTCCACCTCCCTTTTTGTGAGTTCGTCGAGGTTTTGAGACGACAACGGGAGCTGGATGTTTACGCAACTGACGGGCAGAGTTCACGTCAGCTAGGCCGCTGTTACCAAGTAGTAGTTTGGCTATAAAAGAAAGTCGCAATACTAGGATGGCCTACTTATAAGAAATCAGTAGAACGGAGAAGGGTCAAGACATACCTTCTTCAATGGTGCGCTTGATAGATTGGCCCTTGCGCATAGTGGCTTTTCTGGCAGCTTTCTTAGCCTGCGTATTGAGACGAGTGTCACCAAGCTTTTCATCACCAAGAAATTCTTTACCAACCTAGGAAAGAGACTCATAGAGACAACTTTAAAAAAAGACAAATGAGGGGGAAAAGGTGTAAAAGAACATCTGATAATGTGACTAAGCAGTCGACAATGGAAAAAAAGCGGGAGACGTACTTATGACCAATGTAAAAATTTAGTCAGAGGAATGACTCATCAAATTGAAACAAGACAAAGAAAGATGAGTCATACGAGAATTCAAATTGAATAATCACACTATAGAAAAATTGTTGATCAATGCGAAATATTAAAACAATAACGACATTTAGCAGACAGCTACCGATTGTACAAATATTTAAATGTATAAAAGTATATTGTAATCTGTAGGCAGAAACTCGATAAAAATATAAGAAAATGCATAAAATCCTTAACGATTTTAAAAAGAGGAATATTTCACACTTAGCGCAAAACGGACTTACATCATTCTTTTAATTAATAAGACATATTGGTGCAGATGCAGATCGATATCACATATCTACTTAAACCCGGCATCTCAAATAATTGGCAATTAAAAACAATGCAAAAGAAAAAAATCCTCAAAAACTATGTATACAATTTGAATTAAAAACGACAAGAAAAATATTGAATAAAACATGGCGGATCCGAAAATAATTTAAGACAGGCTAAGCGAAGCACGCTTAAGATGTGCTATCCTGCAGATTATGTAAAAAATACCTTTGCGGTGACGACCATAGTCGAATCCCGTCCCAACTGTGGCTTGGCAGACATTTCTAGCTGTAAGATTGAGTGATACGAAAAATTAATCGAAGATGGCGGGCCTATTGACCAAACGATGATGACCTAAATAGACGGAATATTTTAACACAAGTTGCTAGTTAGTTAGGCACTGTAATGGTTATTTAAGTAAAAATATAATGTTTTAAAATGTGTTTTTACTCAATTTTTCAAGCCTGGCATTTGAGAAGCTTTTTGAATAATCCCAATTGGTAGTTTAATTGATTTTTTTAATATGCCGAAATTTTCAATTTGAAAAATTTAACAACCGAAGTTAAGAAAAATCCAAACTATTATGTTATTTCAAAGTAAAAATTCGTGAGTAAATGAATTTTCCTGCTTCCCTTTAATTTTTACATACTCGAATGTATTCGGAACATTATCAATTTTCATTTGTTAGCGACAATTTTCATGCTCGTTATGAGCTTTGACTTTTGCACAATTAAACTGTTTGTACTTATATGTTATAATTTATTTGTTAAAATACTAGTAACATAGCAATAAGAAAGTTATCGTATTGTGCTAAGCCAATATGCATATTCTTCCAATATACCAATTATCGTTAGTTACTATACTGTAAGGGAAAAAGTTCATGGGAATTTCTTTTAATATGTAGGATACGAGAAGATTGGGACGATGAGCTCTAGTAAACATTAAAGAAATAAAGTAAACACGTGCAAATTTTGATCAGGACTTTGTCAAAAATTTCAGCACCAATCTACCGCAAGGAAATGCAAAGTACTTGAATATTTTCAAAAAAGATCATAATAAGACGAAAGTTTAACAGCAATAAATTGAAGCCTAAATCGCAGATACTGGAAGAGATCTTTAAGGAAATATTGACATAAAGGTATTGCAGATGTTTCAGTTAAAGTGATTCTTGTCAATTTCTGAAACTTATTTTCTATATTATACAATCGAATAAGTATTTTTTACTGAGATCAAGATAGTACAAATTACCGAAATTATATCAATATTTGATGCGGGAATACAGAATGGGAATTCTTCAATCTCGTTTAAAAGTGTTTCTCCAGTTCCTCTATGCTTTTGTACTATAAATTACGATCATAAAATCCCCGTTATAATAACAAAAACATTAAATTGAAATAAGTTAGGTAAGTAAAACACTTTTTAGTAATTTTTAAATAAATCATTAAAATTCTTCATTCCGTCCCCTTTTTATATTAACATCAAGATTTTGTTTCAAGACGAACCTTTGGTTATTTTCTTGTCTGAATAATTTCGATGATTTCCCAATAATTTAAGTAAACTTGCACTTTTCTTGGCTTAAAGCCGAAATTCCTCCTTTGGCAAGATTTTTTATACGCTTTGAAGTATTTAAACTTAAAGTATTAACTAAATTTCTAAAGAATTGAATAACGCTTAAGACGCTTTTATCAGAATTTTAAGTAAAATAAAATTTTTTATTCTCAAGTAGGGTAAATGCTTTTACGATAATTATTCTAGTTGCAATTAACTGTGTCTAAGATTGGCATATAGATAACAATTAAAAGAAAAGTTATTTTATTCTCAATGTAGGTCCAAATACCCAATTAGTTAAATTTGCGGTGATAAAAAGACCTGATTGCGATGGCGGTTGTTTTATTTTCCAAGTAGCATAATTAAAATCGCATTTCCAATATTATGACACTTTGCTGAATGAATTATTTCCAAACAAAAAATTAGCTTGTCAAATATTTGCGAGATTTTAATCCCAATTATAAATTGTTCAACCATTTAGAAATTCTGAATCATCAATTCATTTTATCGATTTTTGCATGTTTAGATTTGATTTTATGCATTAAGTTGTACGTTAAATAGACCAACTATGTGTCGAAGGTTGTTTTGCTTATCATATTTAGACATTTATGGTAGCTAAAGGTTAGTTGTACTTCGAAGGGAGCCTCAAGCGAAATCGATATTAGTGAAGGATGACTTCAAAAATAGGTCAATGGAAGGTGCCAAATCATATATGCTCTTCGAAGTTGGGGAAGTGGCCACTGAGTGTAAATGAAGTTTCGATAATTACAACAGCGATTTCTAAATCGATGAACTGAGACTGAGGGTCGATGTAAAAAACTCGGGCATTGTAATGGAGTTCCAATCATTTTAAGAGAAAGCTTAATAGTTACTTGAATTTCAATAGTGGAATGTTGTAATATTGCTTTTCAGTTGCTCAAATAGTGAGGTAGTTTTCATTCGCTCACTATGTCCATTTTGTGAGGAAAAGAATTTAAAACCCAATTTTCAGTTTTCAAATCGACAATCACTTCAAAGTGAATTGAAAACATTGCGTTAATAGCCAAGATATCGTTGAATCTATTTGCCAGGCATTGTTGATTATTCCTATCCTGCTTTTAAAGCGACCTTGTAGTCTTAATTGTTCTGTTACAGTTAGTATAATTTGATTGCCTTGATGAATGAATCAAGCGATTTCTAACTTGCAAATGCATTAAATCTCAATGAATAGAAATTTTCGTCACATTTCGAAGTTAGGGATCCCAAATTTTACAAATGCAACTTTAATCAAAGTAATGTGATTAAAAATGGCTATTGACTCCAAGCCAACGACCATATGTTTAGAGTCAGATATATGGTAAAAGATTTACTCGCAATTGTTGTTTAGTATTATAATAAACAGGTGGAAAATTTAACCAAAGACAGCTTCATGTTGAAGCTCAAATTTCAAATCTTTTTGAACGAAATTATCAGTTTCCAACATTACTTTCGTGAAGAATGTCAGCTCACTTATATTCGTATACCGGCATTACATTATAATACAAACGGATGATTGGACAAATGAAGCGCTCAAAATGTTCAGCTAAACTTCGTCTGGATGCGTATCTGCGAATTCTGCCATCCTCTGTATCAGTTAAAATTGACTAGTGCGGTCAGCCATTCCACCCACTAGGTGTTCGTCAACGGGAATTGAATCCACGATCTTTGGCATGGCAGACAATTACGGTGACCAATGAAACACCGAGGCACATTGAGTTTCCATACGTTTTTAACTCCAATTAGCCGTAACCAGGGCTTTACTATGAAATATTATCATCTTTAAATGAATGAAAGAAAGGTAGGACTCATCTTGGTGTAAATCGATCAATGTATTCTCTGTGCACTCACTCAGTCACGCATTGAGAATAGGGTCCGATTAAAAATATACATACAAAATTAAGGGACTAGGTTGCGGGGTCTGGGAATAATTGGTCAAAAAAGGAGATTGAGCGAGTCCCCTAAATCAGCGAAATCTTTCCATACTCTGTTGCAGTACCCTTACTAGAGGAACTCCTCACGACGGTATCCCTCTTTGAATCACTATTTCGCGTGGAGGTGGACTCTTGAGTGTGTAGAGATCTATTTCCATTGGATCTCCTAGTTGGTGGTTGGGGAATCGGCACTGATATTGATTGAGCTCGTGTATGGAATTGTATCTCCAAATCTTCATCATCCCCGCCCAGGGTACTTAGCGAGGAAAGGCCATCTCCTGACCCCAAAAGAACTTCATACCCCCTGGTCCCGAATGGTGAATGACTTGCAAAACGTTCATCTGCGGCAGCATATGATCTTCTTGAGGAATGGTTAGCTTTGGGGGTTCGGAGATGATTCGAAGGTCTATCATCTGCACAGCTGTCGTAGAAAATCAAGGGATCATCTCCAAGGGTCTGAAGAGGGTCAATTTCAGAAGTCACTGGTCCCACTTTTGAAGAATGTATACCCCTGCCTTTTCTTGAAATTCCAAGTGCAACGGAGGCACGTTTACTGTGAGTTGAAGGGAGATGCTGCATTTCTACAAAATTGGGGTAAGTTTTCTTTGCAACACGCTCTTTGGTTGAAGGACTAGATTTCCTGAAGAGCCTAAGGATACTTGAAACAGATTCGCCACCGTCAGATTCACTCGGTTGCCGAGTTCGAGTCTTTTGGCTCTCCGTAACCTTTCCAACTGCTTCGTAGAGCTTTAAGAGATGATCATCAATCATATCCATTCGTCGGTTAACGGATGTTATCTCGTTCATCATAGTCGATTGCATCAAACCGATTGCATCAAGTACTACCTGGATCTTCTTTTCTATCATTGGAGAGAGAAATTCACTTTTAACAGCTTTGGTTGAGCCAGAAGATTCGTCTTCTTCTACGATGGTTTGAGATTGAAGAGTTCGTTTGATTTGAAGTGCTGGTTTAGCAGCCACCGTAGGTGGGTTAACATGCGTCAAATGTTCAGACGGAGTCTCGTTTGAGGTCTCAGGTTTCTCTCCAGCTCCAGTAGTTGATGCAGGGGTCCCTTGGCCTCCCCCAGACATCAATCGGGCCCATTTATTGACTGGTTTGGCGGTAGCAGCAGGAGCTTCAGAGGGTTGTTCTGAAGATGACTCCACTCCTCCTAAAGATTTTCGTCGTTGAGGAGCGACTATAACCCCAGGGACCAGACTAGAGGTGGCTGTGCGTTCCTCTCCAGCTCCAACTACTGTATTTCCGTCAACCTCCCCACCTGTGGCTGCAGCAGCGCTCGCTGCTGCATTCGCATTTGCGGTGCCGATTTTTCGAAATCGGTGGATCATTCGACGAACTGGATGGTCTGCGGTCAATTCAGAGAGGTAATTTTCATTAGTCCGATGCTCGGCTAATTCACGTTCTCGACGCACGTCCTCTAGTTTGCGAAATATAAGCTACGACGTAAAAAAGAAAGGTTTAGTACCAAGAAGTTTAAGCTTCTTCAGAGCCCGCTGAGACAGACAAAAAGTTGCTGAAATTCCAGCTAATTTTACAGTTAAATGTACAATTAGTAAAAATGCTATTTAAATCATGTGCGAAGTAAAGTCGTATACAAGACTTAATTATCACACAAATAACGGAGGAGTGGATGAAATTCTGAGGAATTTAATTAAATTGATAACGATGCACTCAAACCCCCCCCCCCTTGGGCAAGGAATAGTGTTGAAGTAGTTGAATAATTACTAATTTACTTAGGGAGGAGGTATTGTTTTGAAAATATTTCCGAACTTGGATGTTTCAACAATCCGCACACTAATACATTACAAATACGTTTGTCGATTTTCAATACTTGATGAGTAATTTGAACGCATAGGTGCGTCCGTCCACGCATTGATTTTCCAATAAATACTTGTTTTCCGAACACCTGATGAACCTATGTGAGGAACATCTTGTTTCCCCCTGAACAATTGCAGATACTTCTCACTATTTATCCTTGAATTTCGGTGCTTACTTAGGTGAAACTATTCTTTATATCCATTAACCATACTGTGACATTCCTCAATCTAGGTTAGTTCAACGAATAAATTCCACTCCAATTTCATTTTATTTCTGAATTTGCCTCCAAAATGCCCAACACCCATAAACAAATTAAGTTTCGACCAAAAATGACTAAATAGTTTGAGTTATTCTCCTCCCGTCGGCTTTGTGTTTGTGTGACTCTTTCCCAAAAGAGAAATGAAACTGTTCCACTTTGTGTTTCCTTCATTTCCGAAAAAAATAACGGGACAGAGAACGCGAACAAAGCCCGTTTACTTAAGCAACACCAAAATGAATAGTTTGTCATAATATTATTTTGCTGACTTGAGCATCTGCCGGGTTAGTTATCATTTTGCCCCATGCTTAAACCTCACACAACCACTTTTTCAGCCAGTTTGAAGTGTCAAAGGAAGTCTTTGTTAAAGCAAAATCCAACCGGTAGCACAAAACTTATTTTCCAGGTTTAGGGTGTGGGTTAGATTTACCTCCTCGTGGTTCACCCTGGGCAACGTTTATTCATATGGGAAAAAGGTCTATTAACTGGCAGTTGACTTCTCACTTCAAACTACCTTTACCCCACTGTATGTCATATTCGACCCCTACCACAGCACTCATCTTACATTTTATAAGCTTTTGTGTCTGTCTGTTTCTTTTACATCTTTGAATCACTCTTATGCCACCCCCCCCCCTCATGAATTTTTTCACTTTGATGTTCCTCCTCCTCTCTGTGAAGCCCGAAGTCAACTAAATGGCTAATGATAACTATCAAAACGCCTGCCATTTGAAATAAATAAGTAAATAAACTTTCCAGATTTTAATGGGAAGATGTCGTCCTTTCTACTAATATAAATTCTTAGGGGAAAGCTGTTGAACTAGGGTGTGATAAAAATATATATTTATCAGACTCCTTTAAAGGAAAAAGGAACTTTATTTAAAACTGCACTTAAATGTGCTATTTGAGGTTCATGTGTTGTTCTCGATTCAGCCAACTTCTCATCTGGACACATTGACCAGAAGAGAATTTTTTTAGAAATACGTTAGTTACTTTGAGTCTGAGGCAAATAATTTGCTATATTTTTGGAGATGGAGCACTAAAACACATCTACTCACCCGCGTCTTGAGGTCGTACGACAGAACGAGATTTCGTGCAAAACTGTTTGCAAATGCCGTGTAGAAATCAAGCACATGTAGAAGACGGTCTTTCTTAATGTAATGGAGATCACAATAAGTGAGGGCGCGAACTGTGGCAGAGGAATGACTCATTCTACTGGGATCCTTCCAAAACGGCTCACCGAAGACGTCTCCTCGACCTACACAAAGAGAACACTGGTTAGGCAGATAACCTGAATTCCATTGCCTTCTATTCGCCAATACTAGGAGGTCTCGTTTCTGTCAGTATGATGTATCAGATAGGTAGATATCAATATTCTACGGTTGGTTATGACATGAAATTGCTCAAAGGAATTTTATTTGCTACGCAAGGATTATATGTGTGAATATTTCGTCGTACTTTATCCTGAATAAGTGTCATTCTACCGGAATAGCTGTAAATTTCCATTGATTGACCCAAAAGCTTTGAACTTGGTTCTGTGGGCCTCCTATCGAGTTTTGACTCAACCGATGTCTTTGAAAGGTTGGAGGTAATACAGATTTGGATTTTAAGAATCCATTTTTTAACTAAATTGACCTTCAAAATTAAAATGAATCTGTGTGACGTGATCGATGCGGTGCGCGGCAGATGAGAAGAGTTGAGTCAGGCAATGAGTTGATTAACGCTTGTTTTATCAATAATTAAGTTAAATTAACCAAACTTAAGCAAATTTCATATGAACATGTCTTCATTTTATTTGTCAACATCATTTCTATAACATTGATGGGTGAGATTAAAAATATACGCACTTAAAAACTGTTAATTAACCAACAAGGCTCCTATCCAATCTCCGACATATCAGGTGAGAAAGTAGACAGAGGTGCTTGATCTTACCACTCTTTTGAAAGGCTCTCATTTCGAACAGAAAGACCCATGGGCCAAACACAGCAAGGCCAATAAGTCAGAAATGGATAAGAGTGAAATGTGTGAGGATGAACGATTTCAAACAAAATGAAAGAGATCGGTAAGAGGGCATGGGGGTAGAAAGGTAGGACGAATCAACATGTTTTACGTTTACTTAATAGTGAAAAATTTCCAAATTGGTTGAATCGGAAATGATAGTCAAGGGTTTATTTGAGCCTCGACGTCAATATTTATATGTTCTTTTTTTTTAAAAAACCAGACTCTTGTGCAAGTTAGCTCTTCTCCCGAGTTCTTAAGAACTAATGTGATGGGCGACATTTTTTCTTCCCTTTTGAGAGTAAAAGTTCCATGCTCACAAATATTATTGTTCAGGGGTGCTATAGACTCCACGTGGTGCACCCAGGGCAACGTATTCTCATACGGCAACAAATCTATAAACCGTCAGTTGACTTTTGACTTCAAATTGCCATCACCCCACTTTATGTCATTTCGACCACTTCCACTGTACTAATCTTACCTTTTCTCTGGCTTTGTGTCTGTCTCTTTTGTATCTGTGAATCACTCGTTTGTTCTCCTCCCCTCTCGAATTTGCCACACTTTGATGTTCCTCCTCCTCCTCTCTGTGAAGCCCGAAGTCAGCTAAGGGGCTAATGATAAGTGTCATAAAGCCCGCCATTTGAAATAAATGAATAAATATTATTGTTCTTAAAAAGGAAAAGTGCCTAGTTGGAGGTCATTCAATTGGGGGAGTGGTGGAGGGGGGGGGGTGTTAAAATTTCGGTTAATTAAATTATTTTTTTAAGAATTACAATTCATTGGAGCACTCATTGGTGAGTCAGTGGGAAATTTGATCGATAATCCTTGCAATTCAGCGGTCTAGCTAAATTAAGGTACAGGCAATAAAAATAGACTAGAATGTGCTAATGGAAGAGAATAGACAAGTAAGTGAATCAAACGGGAGATTCAACGAGGCAAACAAATAATTTGAGAGAAATCATAGTCTGCATTAAATGGCTCTTGTAACGATATCTGAACTACCCGGGGAATTCAACAAACAGCCTTAGAGAGTCAAGCTGATTGGCACTACTTCAAGAGTAAAGTCCCAAATGAATTGTTTCCATACAATACTGCGTGAAAAGACAATGCAGAGTACGGGCTGTGGACGTATGGGACTTCTTTTTCGTGGTTATTTGTGCGAAATTTTTATTGAACTATGTGTGAACAAGGGAGTGTGCGATAGACTTAATTCTCCATGTGGTGCAACCTGGGCAACGTATACTCATACGGCAAAAAGTCTATTAACCGCCAGTTGACTTCTGACTTCAAACTACCATCACCCCACTGTATGTCATATTCGACCACTTCCACAGTACTCACCTCACCTTTTCCCCGCTTTTGTGTCTGTCTGTCCATTTATATCTGTGAATAACTCTTCTGTCCCTCCTCTCGACTTTTTCTCAACTTGACGTTCCTCCTCCCCTCTGTGAAGCCTGAAGCCAACTAGAGAGCTAATGATAAGTGTCATAAAGCCCGCCATTTGAAATAACTAATAAGTCTCATTCCTTTGTTCCGAAATTTGAAGCCTAAATGTTTGTAGGACAAGATTTTCACATATTTTATTGCTCCGAAAACACAAAAAATAAATAACTTGAGTCCAGATTTCCATTACACTGTGCTAGAAGCTAGCGTCAATAGATAAGTAAGAGGAACTTCGACCTAGAACAGTAGTTGATATAATAATAATTCCTATAATAGTACTTAAAGTACCTATTCAAAATTCTCCTCTAAAGCTTGGTTCACTATTGCCGCCCATTTATTCGCATTTTTCACAATGCTCGAGGCTGTAGAGACTTTTAGCGACACGAAGTAAACGGAGATCTCTTAGAAAAGAGCGGGCATAAGTTAGGAAAACGGGGTTAAATTAATGCTTTTTCATGAGCCGGATCAATCGTAAAATAGTAAATTTAGAAATTTGAAATGATTATTAAGTTATCAGTCCAAGTGGATTAAAAGTAGGTTCACAATTTTGATGAATTGAACTGAGGCTCAGTGTACCCAGTTGGAACTCGTCATCGGTCGTCACCGATGGGAAATGGTTTCCTGCTCTCACCAATCATGGCCTCTTTGCTTCTTTGTCTTTACTGACATTCGAAACAGATCTTGCAGACTGCTTGACCTTTTGAATTTACTGACTTCAGTTAAAGAATTTGCTTTTATAAAGTTCTACTTTGACCATGCCATCAACTGGGCGGGAGGATTGAAAATAATTGCATGGCGAACATATTATGATAATATGAAGTGTCTGAAGTATATTATGTTAAAGGAGATGGTTCAACGTGGCGATAATGACGAAAGCACACTGAGACACGAAGGAATTCCGTTCACCATATCATGCCGACTCTGAACTCACCCAACTTCGAGAATGCACTTTAAATTGGAATCTGAGGGGAATCTACTACCACTTTGTCTAGCGTTAACATTATGCATGGATGTCAAGTAAACATGAGTTGGCAATAGAGAGTGCATGATTCAACATATCTCTCTACCTACTCAAGTGGTTTGAGTGACTTGACAATTTTAAATGCAATTGTTACTTTCTTACATAAAACTAACTAGTTCGAAAAATATTCTTCGAAAATAACACAACCTCCCCCCCCCTTTCTACTTTTCCATGTTTGTTCAGTCAGAGACCACGCGACATCGTGGGTGATGGCTAACCTAGCTGACTCACAGGAGAAGTGCTCACCGTCTACTCAAATTAAGTTTTGCCCACGATATTCTTAACGGCTAACAAGGAATTAGTTCAGTCAGTTTATGCCTTGATAAGGTATGTATAGTATTTTAGTTTTATAGATCAGTACTTTAGTTGTAAAAAATATAACACTTTTCATTCATACGTACACTAAGCTAATTAACATCTGATGATCATAGCTGCCCAAAGCAATTGCAAGTTTCATTTCAAGGTCAACTTACTTACTGACTATATATTTGGACTTAATGTGTGAAATGAACTTTTAAGTTGCTCAATATCCCCTTTCACCATATTTATTTATTTATATCAAATGATAGGCTGTATGATAGTTATCATTGTTCCTTTAGTTGACTTAGGGCTTTACAGAAGGGAGGAACAGAAAAAGGCACAAATAGTGGATAGAGGGAACAGAAATGCGCTTCGCAGATGTAAAAGAGACAGATACAAAGATAGAGAAAAAGGTAAGGTGAGTACTATGGAAGTGGTCGAATATGACATACATTGAGGTCATGGTAGTTTGAAGTCAACTTTCGTATGAGTACACGTTGCCCAGGGGGCACCACGTGAAGGTAAGTTTATCGCACACCACCACTCCTCTTCCACCATATAAAGCACAAAAAGCACTAGCTCAAAAAGTGCTCACTTTCTTAAAGTGTGAACTCATTTATTCAAAACACTAAGCCACACTTAAATAAACTTGTAATTAGATAACCAATGATCCTAATCTTGTTTTGCTAGGCTATTTTGCTTATAGTTAGCATACTGAGTGCAGTCAACAAAAGCCACAAAGAGTCATATTGATTGATCGATTTGTAATTTGAAAGTAGATAGGGGGGGGGGGTAGGGGGTTGACTCACCGAGGATTGCGACAATTTCATCATCCTGAATGACCTCCAGTGATCCAGTTACCACAAAGCAGAGTTGGTCAATACTCTCGCCTTGATGAAAGATCAGATCACCTGGAGCTGTGTGGAGGGTATTGAAATTTACCGCCAACGCGCGAAGACAGCCATCTGAAGCCAGACGAAATGCTGGATGCTCATTGAATACCATCCGATTCAGATGAATACACAAGTCCGCCTTCATATCCTTTGGACAGTAGTTCAATACCTAGAAAATACGCGCAAAACATTCTTACAGTCATGACAGACATAGTCGCGTGCGTAGACATTTCATCATGAAGACAATAAGCTTAAAGGGTTATTCCTAATCAAAAGAGAGCTTGATGTTCTCACCAGAATGGATTTACGATGCATAAGACACACTCTAGGCAAAGGGTACCAATGCTTTCGGAACTAGCTTAAAACATACATAAGTGGGTAAAAGATTGTCGGTCAAAATGTAGACAAACTGTCTGCTACCTATTAACAGACAAGGCAATGAAATGTAAACCCTTTACTGAAGCGGCTCGAAGCTGTCTACGCGTCATTTTAGTCCTCAGGGGTCCAATGGGGTCTAATTAAGATGAAAGCACCGAATGGACTCAAAGTTAGCATCTTACAATCTAAGACCAGGGTTCAGGGAGGCTGAGACTAATTGTCAACACGAGATCTCATTTATCGCTCCACGATAACATCACCTAAACTAGGCCACAAGTTGAATTTAAAACGGATAGATCAATAATTTGGCCTAATTTCATCAATTAACTTCGAGTTATTTCAGCAAACAAATATAATGCCACAATCAGTTTGAATTGATTTTTGAAAAAATTTAAACTTTGCCTACCCTTATGTGCATTGCAACAAGAAAAGAAAGCAATCTTTATTTGTCTTTACCATGCTCTTAAATGCCTCTCAATAATTACTTAGTCGCTAAAAAAGATTGACTTTGAAGGCATTATTCGTTGCCTGTTGAAACAATAGTAGGCTTCAATGATAGACAGGCCTTCCTTGTCTTGCGTTAATTACTCAACTTCGTAACAATACTACGCAGGTTAGTTTCTGTGCATTGCAAATTACATTTTTTTCCTAATGATTAATCCAATAACGACCAAATTGCCGTGAGTCATTTCAAACAAGTGGTATTCGATCGATCAACTGCAAGTCAACTTAGCACATTGAAGATTGCGTGCATCTCAGAAAGTAAATGCATTAAAGGAAGCCCTCCTTTAATAGACATAGGGAATTGTGGTTTGAGTGAGTACAGTATTCAAGTAGAGAATAACCGAGTTTTGGCTAATAAAACAAAATTCTATTTATACTTCCTGAGTAAACTTGAGCAACAATAGGTTATCGAGACCTAACAATTTAAAATTGTAAAAAAATATATGCCTTTAAAATATACTATTCTTCATTTTGGAGAGAAAAAATAGCACAATCCACACCGAAATACTCTTGGACTTGTTTAAATTTCACAATTTAAAGCAGCATCGATCAAAAAAAGAACATTCAGTACACAAGGAAGTTGCATTGTGTGCCGAAGCGGCTTTGCTCAACACAAACACCATTAGATTCTACTAGATCCTAAATCCGATTCTGACCTCAGAACCCTGAAAAAGACCATTTTTTTGCAATTTCTCCGAGGGAGTAGCAAAAAATCGGTAACTCTGTTCTTTATAGTACTAGCAAAGCGTGTAGCGTCTTTCTCGACGGGTGGAAGGGAGAAAAGAGGCGCTGTGTGGACATAGAAAGGCAAATTAATACTATATTTCTCTTTTCTTGTTTAAATGTGTTAAGTACTGAATATTACGAATAGCATTCAATTGTTGGCACCAAAATGTTGAAAGCGTTCAATATGAAATTCGTTTCACAATTCATCACGTTGTAGCGTGTTTAGTTCAGAGGAAGGGGTGTGCGATAGACTTACCTCCACGTGGTGAACCCTGGCAAACGTCTATTATTCGGCAGTTGACTTCTCACTTCAAGCTACCATGACCCCACTGTATGTCATATTCGATCCCTTCCACAGTACTCACCTTTACTTTTTCTCTACCTTTGTGTCTGTTTGCCTCGTTTACAACTGTGAATCGCTCTTCTCTTCCCCACCCCTCGACTTTCTGTTTTGATGAACCTTCCCTCTGTGAAGCCTGAAGTCCGCTAAATCGAGGAACCTTCCCTCTGTGAAGCCCGAAGTCAGCTATATGGCATTCCCTCTGTGAGGCCCGAAGTCAGCTAAATGGCTAATGTCTTCCCTCTGTGAAGCCTGAAGTCAGCTAAATGGCAAATGATAGCTATCAATCTCTGTGAACCCCAAAGTCAGCAAAATGGCAAATGGTAGCTATCAAAACGCCTGCCATTTGAAATAAGTAAATAAGTTCAGAGGAATGACAACTAGCTATTCTCCTTGGTCTTCATAGCAGTCTCTTGAACACGTTGATTAGTCTTCGTGCGTTAACGTTTGACGTTAGCGAACGACTTTGTAGATCTAAATGCAACGATCACTTCTTTGGACACCGATCGTTTATGGGATTTTCTGCGTTTAGGCTTTCATTTAACGCCAAAAAACACTTTGAATTAAGCATACCTTTCAACAATAGAAACTTTTAGTTCGATTGGAAACGGTATTCTCTAGGATTTTGCTCACAATCATTATTAATAGGCGACAACGCAACATAGCCACTGTGCATCACGTGACCCTTGATGAATGCTCAACGTCACTTCCGGTATGATGTGGAACACGGGACCTCTGAAACTTTGGTCACGTTGGATTAAGATCAGGAGAGCCTGGAGACCACGCACGCACACACACATTTGAACTAGTGTAGTTCTAAAAATTGACGAAATCAATGTTCTCCTTTCCTTGAGATGTGTCAGAGTAGCGGTTTCCGCTGAAGACATGTACAGGCCCCATTATTGGCTACCCAGTTCATTATTAGGGGCACAACTACTAAAGTAGTCTACAATGGCATAATAATTACCCCCGGCCTCTCTTTACAAACGTACTGAGGGAGGCATCACATCACGTCACCCTCCATGGAGGGCACACATCCAAAAATGACTTGAAGAGTGTCCTGTGGCCTGAAGTTGACAAGAGTTCCTCTCATTAGGCACGCAACGGATTATTTGGGTTTCAGCAAGATGCTCAGCCTTGCCCAGAGACCCCTTCTCCTTTATCAAATCACTTTCCCGGACTTTTTCTGGGGGGAATTTAACCTCCGCGACGCCTGTATGTGCTTGTATTATGGAAAATCCTCGCTGAGGGTAAGCTTCATGATAGAGGCAGAAACATTAATTCTACTGCATCGACGAAACCGAATTCAGATGCCAGAATGCTCCAATATTTATTTCTTCCGGGAGATTTCCTTGAGAACTCACTGTGCAAATGCAATCCGATCAGATAGTCCGTTGTTTTGCCATTGGAAGTCATCAGCTCATGTGGGATTCATTCGAGGAGAAATAAAGGAGCATTAGAAATCGATCATAACCCCCTTATTATGATGCTGGGAGAGAATAATTTTAACACACCTTCTTCACTACCAACACTCGTTTTGGTTCCAGTCTTTAATTTCCTCAGTTAGCATGTATTTGAAGGAAGAAGGGCTCTAATTGTAATAGACATATATTATTCCATAGAGGGGGTGTGCGATAGACTTATCTCCACGTGGTGCACCCTGGGCAAAGTAAACGCATACGGCAAAAAAGTCTATTAACCGGCAGTTGACTTCTCACTTCAAACTACTAACACCCCACTCAATGTCATATTCGACTATTTTCACAGTACTCACCTCACCTTTGTTCCAACTTTGTGTATGTCTCTTACACCTTTGAAACACTCTTCTGTTCCCCCTCTCTCGATTTTTTTCAATTTGAAGTACCTTCCTCTCTGTGAAGCCTGAAGTCAACTAAA